CTAGGAACTAAAGGAAACATTAATAATAATATCTGGAAGTCGACTACAACAAATGGTAATTCTTAAAAGTCAGATTGATGTGATCCAGTGACCGAGTGGATGAACTTATCGCAACCAGCTGAAACAATTCAAACCTAATGAATTCTAGCTAACTATTAGAGCTAAATGATGTTGCATAGAATTAGAAAGACTGTTCACTAGGTAAACGCTTTGAGGTGAAAATAACAGCGGCATGGTATTCTTATGCACTATGCCACGCTGGGATTTGTAGAAAATCCTCTACCAAGACTTTATTATTAATAAAATTCAAATGGTGTCTTGAATAACAGATTCCTCTGAAGGTGATTAAGACAGCTGCTTTCGCTATCATTCAGAGACTGATCTACGTACACACCTGAGTGCAACAGGGGTGCTACCTTGGTGATAAATAATCAGTACCAGGACTGAGTGGAGTAGATTTGAATCTCAGGTAATGCAGTATTTTAGGCGCCTTTTTTAATAAGAGTGAACAGAAAAGAAAGTTAGGTAAAGATTCCGCAAGAAAATGACATTTTCTAACATCATATCTTAATTGTCCCATGGGTAGGCTTAATTTAAACTATGAATACCTACTGGAAGAAAGTACTTTAGTATCTGTGCGAGTCTTTGATTTTTCACAGATTTCATCAATAAAAACTAATTTTTATTAAAATTTATGTATATAAAGGCTCAGAAAGATGTTTTAAGGATTAAAATAAATATTAACAAACTTTCATGACAAAAGGACAGAGTTGAATATAACATTTCTGCTCAACTTCATCCTGGATACAATAAGAAACTAACTTGTTAACAGGCATAATACAAATCAGTGGGTTAGGACATTATTAGACATAGCCTAAGATCAAAATCACTAGCGAGCCTGATGTAATTTCTATTTCTGAGAGTATTACAAAGTCGCTAATGTCACAGTGAACGTACGGCTCCTTACCGCTTGCCTTGAGTTTTGCATCTCACTCAAACTGTTTCATCCATCTCAGATAAATGGGTAGTGTCATTAGCCTTACTAGGATAAATGTAGCTCACAGCCTGGTACATGAAAAATTTGTAGCAAACAATTAAGATCTAAATAAATAACGAACGCTCTTTCAAATGTTCACCATTAGCACGTTTAAATGTTTTTATCCTGATGTCCCATAGCTGTTTATTACTTTTCTCCTTATATTGCTGTTCTTTTATTTCCTGTGTTGGATCTCATATCAAGTTTGTCTACTGCACATAAAGTAAAAGAAGACAAATAAATTTCTTTATGCTCTTGATACTATTAGTGATATAGAATATAGGCACCGAATTTAATAATTTTATAAAAAGCATAATTACTTTGTGTTATATCGAGTCATTAAGACTAGGAAATGGGAGAGGTGCATGTTAACAGATGATTTCGTTAATCAAGCACGTGATAAACTGTCAAGTCACAAGGTACCAAATACTGGAAACATCAGAAACTGTAGCAATTCACCTGAACGTATTCACCATTGTATCTTTCAACTGTTAAGAATAAACCTTTCGTCTCTTTAATTTAGCTTTAGTTAGTCCACCCTACTTCCAACTATACACCGACACACACAAATATACAACTTCATACCCCATTATGACTCCATGTTATTAGAAAACGCTTTTATCATCAATGATAATTATTATGGATCAAAATAAAAAATAAAATAAAAATATATGACTTTAGGACCTGATGAAGTCATAAAACAGAGTATCCTTAGTTCAGTAATCAGCACTTTAAACTTTTATAAATACTCTTTTCAAAATGTTGTGAGTAGACTGTATCTTAACTAGGCAGAGTTAGTATTAGTGAAATATTTATAATACTCAAACTGACGTTAAAAGATTTATGTATTAAAATATCAGAATAGAAATTTTAAAAATTGTGTGGAACTTTTCCTATGTATTCAACTGAATTTTAGATTTTCCCGTCGACTGATTGGACTGAAGTCCTCGGTCTCAAATTGACATGTTGGCTTCTTGAGCCGATGTTTCGACGATGTCTGAACATTCAATTAGTATTTAATTGGTGGCTGGTGACTAGCAGTGGAATCCAGGATGCTCATTTCGTCCTATTTGGGACTCGTTAGCTGAATGTGCCTGCATTCCTCAGTGAGTGATGATGTTCCCACCGAGGCTCGAACCCCGTGCCCATAGTATCCACCAATTAAATACTAATTAAATGTTCAGACATCGTCGAAACATCGGCTCAAGAAGCCGACATGTCAACCTGTGACCGAGCACTTCGGTCCAATCAATCGACGGGAAAATCTAAAATTCAATTGAATCAATATGACCCGTTGCACAAGAGGTGGCTCTCGTGACCCAAGTGGTCTAGTGGATAACGCTTTGGCGTTTGAAACTATGGGCACTGGGTTCGAGCCTCGGTGGGAACACTATCGCTCACTGAGAAATGCAGGTACATCCATATGACGAGTCCCAAATAGGACGAAATGCGCATCCTGGATTCCACTCCTAGTCACCATCCACCAGTTAAATTTCGTATGCATGCTGATTACCATAATAAACTTTCTACGAATATTAGTTTGTCATCAGATAATAAAACTGCCTCATTGAGAAAGTAAAATGGCTACTTGTTACATTTATAGTGATTATTGAAGTTATAATAATACTTACAATTTTCTCACTCTTAAATCCATCTCCATTCATATTTGTGTAGCAAAAAAGGGTTTCAAAAACATAATTAGTCTTCTAAACCTGTCTGAGCCTGAAATAAATATCCCAGAAGCTCAGTTGCTAGGTAAATTATCAAAACAGGGTGTAAAATGAATGTGAGTGTTTGCTAAGTTAGTATTTCAAAGTTTATCGAGACTTAAAATACTCTTATCATAATTAGATCTGGTACGTACACTTGGGATTTTGGTTGCGTTCTTTTTTCTCATCCTTCTTTTTACTTTCATTTTAGTCTTACTGTCAATTTAATTCTTGCTACTTAAGATGTCTCACAAAAATTTCTGTGAAAAGTAAGTGTCTGATCAAACTGTTACCAATATGTTGGGAAGACACACTCAACAGACTGTCTAGATCATTCGCATTTTTTTCCAGTCTTTTGTTCAAGTTCCTGAAGGAAATAAGTTCTTTTAAATTTACTTTTATTTTCTAACTGTTAACTGCATCAAGGTAAGGAAACGCCTTCTTAACCACCTGCAAAAAAAACAAGCCTTAGTCAATTAGAGCCTTCTACTGTCTATTTTTTTAAATAGCCACGAGTGATATACAGAAGTTTTCATCATCCGATTTATATATAGCACGTGGTGCTTAAGGAAACTACTCACTCTGTTACACTTAAATAGATGAATTGTGAATGCGTTTGTGGCATAATATTTTTGTCTAGGAGTCTAAGCAGTTTAGTCAAGGTTAGTCAGACAACCTATATCTCCAAAACCTACAGTACCTAATTGGTGGGGATGTTAAATTAATTCTGCAGAATTTAGCTTACCTTCAAAATGCAGATAGGTATAACTTATTGGTCAAAATAGATCACTTAACATCTAGTCTGTATGCGTGAACTGACCTTATGAAAAGGTTTTTAGTGTTTCAGTATCTTCGTAATGATAAAGTTTCATACAATCAACATTCTCTGATGCATTTCCAGAAGTTTAAAATACTTAATTATCCATGAATTTGTAAATCTACCTTGCTGAATACTGTCAGTAACCTTCTGTCTTCTATATTTTTAGTATTATCCGCGTTAAAACATATGCACCATTACAAAACAGCCGAAACGCATTCAGAAGTGGTTTAATTTTCTTCCCTAAATCCTTCAAAAAGCTGTAATCACTGTCAGATAAATAATAAACCAACTAGAATTTCAAAGGTGTACATAGTTTAATTGGATTCAAACTTTTGTATTTATTTCTTCAATGTGTCCACTATCCAAAACAGAAACTAATAAGAAAATATTTAGGAGTTAAAGAGCTCTAAGTCGACGCTACATTCTAGTTCTGACCTCTTTATTGTTTGTGTGCATACAATACAAATAACTTAACCCTTGATCGTCACGTTTCATGATGCGGGTGTTACTACTTAATCACTTTGTTAGGAACCGATATAACGCAGTTATAACATTGTGCAAATTGACTGAAGCTGGAGATCGTGGGTAATGATATCACAAATTAATGACTGGATGATAATTTCTCTACGACTAACGTGGCAGTAAGAGGCTCAGTTTTTCAGTCAGTTCATATTATATAGGACTTAACAGTCCTGAATTCAGTTTCGGTTTGTGTTTAGAGCTTTCGGGTTTCCAGTGATTTCCTATCCATGTTGCTTTATACCAAACCTTCCATGAATTGTTCAAGAAGTTTTAGAAATGAGATTGATATCTGTTTCAGTAAAGTGTATCTGTTCACAATATCACTAACCGTGACATGAACTGGTCTTCCTTAATCAAGCACATCGCGGACTACACAACATGCACATAATAAGGATTTTGATATTAGATGGTTGGCAGGAAGCTTTACTGCACCTAGGTTTCGAGCTAGGTGGTACTCGCCAGTCAGTAAGGCGTATCTAAAATCTTGAAGGAACTCATATCGCTTATGAGATTATAACCCAGTGCTGCAGTCAAACATATTATCACTGAGCTATTTAGGCTCGCAACTGACATCCTGTAGGATCGTATTGGATACTTTGATTGAAGGTTAGTCAGTGACTAGTGTCCAATAAAAATAAGGAAAGTTTATACGAGTTGCGGTATTGTAGTTTTCCATGAAAATCCATTTACTGATTAATTGACCATAAAGCGTTTCAGAGCCATTTAAGGTAAGCTAAAAAATCTTTAATCTTGTAAAACTTTATTGGGAAAAAATTTAATAGTAACTGTTAAGAGATGGCACAGCCGTGACCAAAATTTATAGATATAAAATATACTACTGATTAATCATACTGAGTAGGTTGAATGATTCTCTTAAATTACATCTCTTTAATATATGCTTTTTCTATTTCAGGTACTGAAACTGTTATGACAGTACATGTTCCATACAGTGCATGGAGTGAACAATGTCGCGCATTACTCGAAGTTTATTGTAAGCTAGACGCCCTTTGTGTTTGTGATCATGGGAGCCGTGTGCTTGGCAGTGCATTTAAAATCCCAGAATTTGCGGTTAGTATTATTAGTTTTAATAAACATATTATTAAGTATGCGAACAACTTTATTTGCTGCAGCCTTTTAAAGTGACTTATTTCTGTTTCACCAATATTACATTGTATTAACTTTAAAACTATTTGTAATAATACGATAGCAAAGATAATTAGTCACGGCATGTGCAACTTAAGGGTCGCTGACAGAGGCTGTTCCGTTACTAAGGTAAATTACAAAACGTCACACGGCACTTTATGAGTGATGGGCTAACATCATGACTAAGGTAGTAAACTTTATGGTCTTGGGTATGTATTCGCATATACCTAGATTATCTTCAAGCTTCTACATCATTAGCTAGTCTAATAGTAACACTTAAAGTCAGGTAACATCTCTAAAATCTTTGAACTGCGTTAATTATCCGCGAATATTTTCTGACAGTTTCGCCTTCATTTGCAAGATGGATGCACTTATGTAATCTACCATGATAGTGGATATATGAACCACTGACCTCTCCATGAATATTTCCAAAAAAAGTTCAAATGTTGGGAAAATTATGCCTTAGATTCTGACGAAATATAGTACTTTTCACCACTTTGGTTGCTTTCTATGAATTGAGTTTCAAATTCGCTAATATTTTCAGCAGCCTTTTTCTCAAGAAAATAAGGCAAACTGTTGGAAAAGTCAGTGATGAAAGAAAATTTCTCCCTTCAGCTCATTCCAAGGAATACCTGTCTCTTATTTCCATCTTGCTCATTACCTTACTTTAAAGTAGAAGACAGTAACATAGATAAATAATGCTTTACGAATAAGAAAATATCTACCTTATTGACATAAGTATCAAACTTGGGCACTGTGTTATAGTATAACTCCATTATAGATAAGATTTTATTTTGTTAACTCACACAGTATTATAAAGTAATATTAACTGATGTGACCACGTTTCGAGCACAAACTATTGCTCATAATCATATCAAGTCACTCACACAACTTTTTACTTCATTTATATGCATGAGTGGAATTGATTACTGTCTACAACCAAAAGAAGTAAAACATGTTTGACAATATCGTTTTATTTACTGATTTCACTACACTATAACAATGTGGTATTTCACCAACATTTTTCTGATGGTATCTGCAAAGATAAAGCTTTTCCATTAGTAAAAGTGTGATACTAACGAATTCACATATTTATGATATGCACACAGAGTAACTGATAACTGAACCATTGATTCTTTGTTACGATGGTGACCATAATGACAATAATCATTTAAGACAGTACTTTATTTAAACTGTTCGATGTCCTTGAAGACGTATCCCCTGTGAACAGCCTATTTTTCCACTTAAAAGCTAGTATCTTTTATATGGGTAACAACAAGTCAGTATATATGTTTACATGAATAAAGTTTCATGCGTGTTTTAATGTACCAGATGTTATCAGTATTATTCCTTCGGGTAACGAGTGTAACATAGAGCTTCAGCTGCATTTCAATCTGTACTCTGCAATTCTCTTTACCCGGCTCCATGACTGTGCTTAAGCTTTCATCTCCTCCTCACACGATCTCTTCAATGTCATCCTCAAACACCCAACTAGTCGTTCACCATTCTGGAAAAGCAATGAAAATTGTGTGATTCTACACTAAAAGTGTGCATGGCTGCAATTAACAAAAATCACCAGTAAAACGTTTGGTAAAGGATCACGCCGCTAAAGAACTTTCGAATGCAAAATTCACTTATACCAGTAAACGAATAACAGATAATGTTGGTCAAACTGGTGCGATCATATCAATGGACGATTAACTGAATCAAGTGACATTTATTCGGAATAGTGAACACTGTGTTACTAACCCAAATAGCTACTCAAGAATTTTCGCAGAACATCTGTCAAACTGTTTATTAATGCTCCTAGTTAACAAAAAAGCACTGTCATATATTCAGATGCATACATAAGGTCTAGAAATCATTTAGAAAAGGGAAAATCTAGACATCTTACAAAAGAGTGGAATAGTATTGTATGTATTTGATGTGACTGTTTTTTGCGGTGTTTGCACGATGAGTGCTAGATTTGAGTTCCTGTAGGAACATTATCACTCTCTGAGGATGCAGGTACATCCAGCTGACAAGTTACAAGTGGGGAAAGATGTCAGTTGTGAATTCTCCTGCTATTTACCGTTACCCAGATGACGGTGATGTGTAAAGTTTCCAAGTCTCTCAGCAGCTATATTTCATTGGAGTTTCGACAGACAGATAGTGATTTTAAGTTCTGATGTACGTTTAGTGATTTGACCGATCAAAAGTACCACACCTCATATCTACAGCACACATAACTTGCTGTTTATGGATTTGTGAGTAGCCGATAAACGTCGTCTCTCTTATAATGTGAATGAAATAAAGCTGTTACAAACAAGGTAGAGGGTTAGCAGGCAAACTTATTTCCGCCTAATATACTTTGGTTACTTACTGCGCACATTCACGTGATATACTTGATATAATGATCATAGACTAGTGCGTAACAAAAACTAATATTAACTAGAACAGTAATGAAAACCATACAACACTGGATAACTGTTTCCACCATCTTTTGTATGCCTTAATCAAAACAAACCAGTTATCATATTTGTTGTAATTCTATTCTTTTATTGGTAACGTTATTAACCGATTGCTCTGAATTATTTGCACTTACCTGTTTACTAGAATATTACCAATTTAAGCACAAATCAAGTTCGCGCTATACGTCTTGTCATGGCTAAAATCAGTGGTACACAAAAGCCAACTATTGATTTCTTGAATGATCGTTTTGTAGTTGTTGATGCTAACAGTGAAATGTTATCAGCTAAATCTGGTAAAAAGAGTTTATTTGTTGAACTGACAAAAACATGTAAGTTTCTATTTCCCTATTTAGAGTGTTTTTTTAATGACATTCAGTCATTGACTGATTTTTTTGTAAAACTTTACTCTTAAAAAGGATATTTATTATACATTTCTGTTTTATGTTGATAAATAAATTATATTATTATTGTATTATTATTATTGTTCCCTTGGGTTCCTAGTGGAACATAGGGCTTCAACTGCACGTCTCCACTTCCTTCTGTCTTCTGCTGTACTTTTCACTTGCATCCATGTTAGTCCATACTGTTTCAACTCCTTTTCACACGATCTCCTCCATGTCACTCTTGGACGTCCCACTCACCACTTCCCTTTCGGGTTCCACTCGAGCTATGGCCTGACGCGCGATGTCACCCAGCTAGTGTCCAATCCATCTCCACTTTCTTCTGCATATTTGTTGGGTGATTGGTTCTTGTTTTGTCTGTTCCATAGTTTCTTGTTGGTGATTCTTTCCGGCCATCCGATCTTGAGTATAGAATGAAGACAGTTGTTGATAAATGTCTGCAACAGGCTGTTGGAAATATTCTTTGTGACCCGCCGCCAAGTTTCTGATCCGTATAGAAGAACTGACTTGACGTTTGTATTGAAAATTCGAATTTTGTTGTTGATGCTGAGTGACGAAGATTTCCAGATTGGTTTCAGGTTGATGAATGTATTTCTCGCCTTCCCGATTCTCGATTTGGCATCCTCGTCCGTTCCTCCTGTAGTTGAGACAATGCTCCCTAGATAAGTGAATGAAGTAACCTCTTTCGAATCCCTCCCGTTGATGGTGATTGGCGCTGGATGTTGCTGCCGTTGTTGTTGTTGGTTGCCGTAGTACTTGAGTAGTTTCCAAATTACTTCGCGGTCAACGCTGTCGAAGGCCTTCTCAAAGTCTATAAAGTTGAGGTAGAGGTTTGATTGCCATTCCATGCTTTGTTCGATGATGATGTGTAGAGTTGCAATTTGGTCAGAACATGATTTACCTTTCCTGAATCCAGCTTGTTCTGGTCGGAGTTCTGTATCCAGTGCGTCCTTTATTCTCTCTAGGATGATGCGACTCAATTTTACTTGGCGTCGACAGGAGAATGGTTCCTCGCCAGTTCTTGCAGAATGGGGCTTAAGTCGCCCTTATTTGGTAGTTTCACAAGGTAACCTTTCTTTCAGTCAGTAGGCACCTTTCCCTCCTTCCAGACCTTTCGCAATAATGGAGTCAGCATATCTGCTGTCGTCTCTGGGTCCGCTTTCAGTGCTTCCGGGGGTATTCCATCTGGTCCAGCTGCTTTTCCAGCTTTCAGAAGCACTTATGAGTGAATGCATTTATTATGTGTTTATTGTATAGAAGTAACTTCAAATCTCATCAAGGTAGTAAATCAAGTCGCTGAAACAAAACTAACCGATAATCAAATGATGAATAACTCGAAGTTGCACGTCTGATGGTGGCTAACAGTAGAATCCTGGAATCGCATTTCGTCTTCCACGTACACCCAAGTGAATGAGGATGTTTCCTTTTGCGACTGTAATCCAGCACACATCATTTCAAACGCTAGAGCGCTATCTAACAGGTTACTGATCTGAACAGTTTAGCGTTCGAAAGATGTTGTAGTGAATATTTTACCCCTCGAACTATGTACATTGCAAAATGCCAACTAATTTGTACATTGTGAATTTGATTCAGGGACCTTATAGTCCAAAATTAGAATGTTCAGTTGGGCCCAGATATAACAACAAGGAAATCATAAGTATGATTAAATGATTATTATTATTTAAACTGTCAAGCAATTAATTATAGAATGTTCATTCACTAATATGCTTGCTTACAACACATTTAGAGGACATCTTTTTTGCTGAATACGTACATACCTGGTAACAAATTTCTAACATATCAGAAATTATTTCATTGAAACAACTTTTGTTTTTCTACCACCTTAGTCGAATGATTTGACAATGAGGCTTCCAAGATCATTTAAAGCAACATCTTCAGTGCTAATTTTACTGCAAAACAGTACTTTTAATGAATTCCTCGGGTAACTTAATTAGTATTTAGACTATTGGTCTTGATGACATATATCTTGATTATTATATCATTATTTATGTGGAAAATAGAGCCTCAACAGTACCTCTCTGCTTTGTCCTATTCTCTGCAGTCCTCTCCAGCTGGGTCTGAGATTGCCTATAAACTCTAGTCTCCTACTCTTACGATATCCTCTGTGTCACCCTCAGACGGCCAACTGGTCGTTTCCTATTCGGGTTCCCCTTGAGCTATGGTCTGGCGCGATGTCACTAGATGGTCTCCTCATCGTGTGCCCAATACATCCCATTATCTTCGCGATATTTGTTTTTAAAGTCGGTTCTTGGTTGGTTTTTTCCTAGGGTTTCTTGTAGGTAACTCTTCCTGGTTGGCCATTTGGTCTTCAGTATGGAGTGAAGGGAGCTGTTGATAAAAATCTGCAACTTGTTGTAAATCCTTTCTGTGGAGTGCTGGCTAAGTTCCTGACGCATATGGAAACACTGAGTAAATGAACACTTCTGTTGAGAATCAAAATTTGTTTCTTCATGCTAAGTGCAGAAGACTTCTAAACTGATTTCAGAGTGATAAAGGCGTGCCTTGCATTTTCTGATTGTTGTTCTGCCAACCTCATATGTACCTCTGCCTGTAGTTGAAATGATGCTTCCTAGATAAATGAAGGAAGTTACCTCTTTCAAGTAAGCTTTTCACGTTAACTATCACAAAGAGTGTTTCAGATGACAAGAGCTAACTTCGTGCGCCTATCAGACTGAGAGTGCATAATGTAAAATCCTATTCAGTTTTATATTGTTAATTATTTTAATCCTTAACTAGAATGTAACAATATCTCTTTTTTACTATCCTAGTTAAAAAATAATTTTCAAGTGATGGTTTGTACGGATATAAATGATTTTTAGGTGATATTTCATCACGAACCTTCATGAGTCGGAGAACAATTTAAAACCGGAAAGCAGTTAACGTTTGTTTCATCCCATTTTGATACTCTTCATCAGTACACAGTGGGAATCGAACCCAGGACCTTCAGTTTACGAGATGACCACGGTGTCCATCCAACCACTTGGATGGAATCCGACTGCTCATCAATTATAACTCCTTCCAATTAGCTTGTATGTCATCAGGGAATATCATCAAAATTACCTAGCTTTTAAATGTTATCTAACCGATGCTGATTAGTGATTGAATCTAACCTGAAATCCTTTACATCGTTGAAAACCAACACTTGAAGACAAAACTATATATTTAACGCTTTTATTAGTCAGTTAGCTGATATTTACAATTTGTTACTTTTTCCTAGTGTGCATATTTGGTTTGGCTATGGATACAGAGACTGAAAATAAACATTCTGTTGGTCTAGCAGCAATGCGTGATATACAGAAATACTATGAAGATGCAGAATTTTGAATTTACTCTGATTATTTATTTATTTGAATAATATCTATTTTAAAGAAGGACCTATTCAATAATATTTTATAGTAAAGTGCATTGCTCTTCCTTTTTAACATACATAAAGCGTGTGTAAAATGTAAATAATATGAATAAATATATTTTGAATTATTGCTTTGTTTGCTACATGGAGTGTGGCGACTTGAACTGCCACACATATGTGCAAGGCTCTATGTGGAAAACAGAGAGACAGTAAATATTACTGTATAACATTGTGAGACTTCATCAAAATAAACTTTACCCACAATGGAATTTAGCAGTTGAACTACAAAATAGTAAGCAATCACTGAACATATAACTGCTTTCAAGCAGTGACTTTGGGAATGACTTCACTGAAAAGCTCTCATAAACGAAACAACAGGTTCATCTATACATTATCGAAGAGTCTTGAATTCTCTCGTCTGCTGCAGAAGAATTACTTCTATCAGTGACTATATAGGGTTACCGAACTGGATTGTTGCACACAGTTCATAAAGAAGACTTGTCAGACCGCTGAATAATGCTCGTCGGTTGGAAATGTTTTAAGTTATCTGTAGTTTTTCTCTAAACAGTTAAGGTTTAAAACCCAGACAATTGGAAGGAAAGTAATTATTTTTTACAGATAAAGGTTAGGGCATTTCAAAACTATCTAACTGAATAAAATCAGCATCATTGAAGAAATGAAAAAGACAGTAACATATGTGGCAGTATAAGCACTTTAATCAGTCTCATAGAATACAGTTGTCAGAACTCTGTCGCATGGTGTCTTAAGTTTTGCTTTCAGATATGTTGCTTTAGGAAAGAATCTTTTACTAAGTTATGACTGATTTTCTTCTTAAATTGCTTTATAAGTAAACCACTTGAACTTGAGATTTAACTGAAAGTTCGTGTTATAAAATGACTCTGAGTATGTGCAAACCAGGTGTGATTATTTTCTAGTGAATTAAATAAACTGATGATAAAGTTTGACTGCTCGAAAAACTAATCATTTCTTCCATGAACAACCCATTTATCTATATTTACTAATCTTTCAGTCAAAAACCACATTAATTTCTAAATTCAGCGAGGTTCCTGTAATATATGAGGACTTAATTCAGATTTAGGTGGTACTGTAACACACTAAGGCAAGACACGGAAGCCAAGGTCTATTTTTCATTAATCAAACCTCTGTTTATACATTTACAGCTTATATTTGCTAACTAATCACTGAGCGTGTGATTTTTGTTTACATTAAACTATGTAAAATAGAATGTTCAAATATACATAGTATTCTGTTGCTAATACTGTATTGAAATGTGGGAATATGTGAGAAGCATATCCCGTTGGAACATATTGTTCGTATCACATTACCACAATACTTCACTAGAAAACGTCTGCTTGTTATCCTCAACATGCTAAAAACCAACGATTGGCGATTGTTGGCGATATGATTCAAATTCATTCTCAATGACGCAAATTCATTCACCCCCGTAGGATCTTCTAGATTCATGAAATGAATAATGTATCGTAGAGTTTTATACTTAGTCGTCCGAACATTAAGTCTTTTATAACTGCTTCTACTCCTACCTGATGAAACGCAAGGAGAGAATTGTGTCTAAAGAGGATGTTCACAGTACGACAAGGCGATATTCTCCAATTTCTATCATAAGTCCACAACAGTATTACCAAGTTTGTTTAACGGTATCCCACTCGTCTTACCGCCAGCTTTTAGTGCCCTTCATAATGTAACAGACTATTTCTGAAGTAGCTCAGGAAAGATAAATGGGAGCAATAAAGACGAATTAAGAAACTGTAAACGTAGAGGCTGACTGAGTAATACCACGAAGAAGGTTAGAGGAAATAACTTTGTAGAAATTAACACAATATGGAAAAACTAGGAAACATCAGAGTTAAGACATAATCGACTTAGTTTCAACTTCAGTTCCCCCGATGATACAAGAATCATGTGTATCCCATTTGTATATGAAAGTGAAATTAACAATCTGACATTCGGAGGGATTTAACAAGCTCAGCTGCTAGACTTTCATGCAAACTTCTCCGAAAATACAGTTAGTTTCAGTATCATGGTGTACTATGCTAAATGAATTTAAAAAACACTTGGAATTCATATTTAGCTTTTATTTTCAGTTTGGAGGAAAACCAGAAGTGAATTTATGTCCGTACGTTTTAAAAATTGCTTCATCTGTTTAGTAAACTTATATATATAGGGAGAGAGAGAGATGGTGATTTAACTAATAATTCGTATTACCGTAGAGGTGTAACGCTCTTCCCCTTTTTTATGAATAAAATAATATGAAATAAAGTAAATTCTTATCAATATTCATACAGTAATAAGGTCTATTTGAACTGATCATATCTTTCTCAGTGTTCGTACATCCTTTCCTGTGTCCCTCTGTCTTCGTCTTTTTCTCATTATGATTGCTCCTAATTCCTTATCGTCGCCACCAAGATAGAAGTTAACACCTATACACATATAACTGATAATACATTTTTCGACAGGCAATAGATATAAAGTGATTTAAACGAAAGCATTTGAAATTTACAGGAGAGAGGGAGAGAGATAGACAAACAGACAAAAAGGGGACCAGGTCAAAAACGACCAACAACTACTATTGAAATATTAATCATAAAACAGATGGAAATAAAACCAAAACCATTATAACTTGAATAAAAAGATTTTCGAATTGTTTAACTGAAAAGAATTTAGCAGACGACATTCCTTTATTAACATTATTATTATTACTATTGTTATTGTTATTATTATTATTTTATTCAACCTTTTCAGAAAAGACTGAAATTCCTTTATATTTTATATGATTATTTAATTATCATACCATTGGCAGCTAGGCGCATTTTCGGCTTTCTTTCAGTGTATAATGTAAGAATGACAATAAAGAATAAACCTAATGCCAGGATAAACGGTATTAACAACTGAACAACTGGTGTTAATTTCGATAGAAAAATTACAAAAGCACTTCGTGGTATTGTATCAATATGAATAATACCTGACCATTCACCATAATTGTCGTTATTATTCGTAATCAAGTCATCACTGTTATTCTTATTGTTATCATAACGTACTGCACAGGCATCACCATGTACACAGATTAAATGGTGTAAACCCTTGTATTTCTCATTTCTTATGGATACTGTTTCAGCTACAATAATATTAAAGGCTGAGTCGAGTTTATATCGTCCGCGTGTTTCTTTTATCAATGTCGTAAAATCAATTTGTTTCAATTTTGTAGCTAAATAACGCGTAGACGATCCATATTGACGAATAATACTTAAATTATAGGCTGTTTTAGTTAATTCCATTAATTCTTCAGTATTCTCTGGTGCATAAAACCATGTTATTGGCTTTTCTGGTGAATTTCTAACTGGACATGTGATAACCAATCGTTCACCTTCATTCACTCGCATAGTAACGTGTTTAGGGTAACGTTGCACTCTACTGAGAACTGATGTAAATGAGGCAACATTTTTTCTAGGAAAATAAAATAAAGTACATAAGTAAATAAATAAGTGAATAAAAATTTTTGATATTTTGTCCCATAAACATATTAAATAATTCAAATTATATTATTTAATTATAATAAACTGATAACACTTAGGGAAAATTCACTTAAATAACCAGGCTGATTTTATCATGAAAATCAGTGAGCGCTTAACAGTTACTCTGCTTTAATCTCAGTCTTCTCGATAGGAAACTGTTGGGATTACCTGCAGAAATATGATCCATAACTATCAGGTAACAAGGTGAATTTGTTGTCACTTAAGTGAAATCGAATAAGGCGCGATTTTCAACTTGTTTTGGTTAATTATACACAAGCAAAGTCGTCGAACATCATTTGTAAACTTTAAGAATACGAACCTGTTGCTGACTGCTAATGACATTTAAGTGTCAGATTTAGGGGAGTTCAATTGGTTCGAAGTCAAATTTAATTTCTAAATCACGAATGTGCACTGATGAGTAGCTCAAAGATGAAACGAAACAGCTATCTAGTTTTCAGAGGATTTCTTTTATCATATATCGGTACTAACTGATTAAAATTTACTTGTCTGGTAGAATGAAAGAATAATGTGTTCAAGTTTATAAAAACAATGATTATATATATATATATCAAATATTGCTGTGACTTCAAATAATAAAAATCACTTCCAAAATGATCAGTTAACAGTATTATACCGGATTGTTTAGCAATTATAATGACTGATTTGTTCAATGATCAGTCTTTTGATATTTCTTATCAGCATTTTTGATTAATTATAATGAGATTGTATATAAAATGACTGTTTTACTCGTTGGATGTATTACTTCTTAAAATGTGACTAATTAGTCGATAATAAACCTTGCATAATCTATCATATCTTTCAGATGAACATATCATATTTTTAGCTTACCTTCAAACGCTTGTACGCATAAATCAGTATTAGTTAATGAACTATCAGGAATCAATGAATACTGTACACCTGTTCTGTTTTACTCATTAATAGTAAATATGTTGAAGACTGGCTGGCTGGATTCAACATAGAACTTGGCACCGAAGTGCAGCAGTTCGAGTTGCCACGTTCCAAATAGCACACAAACGTAGACAAGAAAATGAGTGAAGAGAATCAATAGAGTTTTGACAAGTATAAGAGTGAAACAGAATGAGTAATGGTAGAAAGGAATATGAAGGTTAAAGAGACTGAATACATCTGCGCCATTGACAAGGATTTTGAGCCATGTCACCTATTGTCTCCAGCCATTGATTCTTAGAGTCCGGAGGGTCCCAACCCGGAAGTCTGCATCTCCCTACCTGACTCAGTTTAACTATCAGGGATTTCATGGATTGATGAGGCCATGTTTTTGTTTGGCCACCACTTACTCTTTTCCAACCTGCACCTATATCAGCTAGTAATGCCCGTCGGGGGAGGCGATGGTAATATGTTGAAGAGTTGAAAGTGAACTGAATACAAGGGTTTCGCATGAGGATAAAGGTAATGTATTAAGGTGTTTTTGTGCACTGTATTGTAAACTGTTCAGCAAATATTTCAGCTATGCTAAATACCTATAGAATGCCTTTGAAACACCGAAATGTAACATTTGAAATCATTACAGAATACTTTTAAGTACCAAACAGGAAGTTACATAAGTCGATGCTCAACATCAGCTACCAGAGGAAATTCAAACTGTAATTGACCACCTCTGTTCTGTCTTATCATGGAGGCGAAAATGAAAGGGAAGTAAGCTTATTTATGTCCTTACTCGTTTTTGAATTTGTTTTATTGATTTTTAAAACAGCTGGATTATCTGTTATGCCTTTTGGTATACTACGCACACAAACACCTTGAGATTTATTTTTATCTTCACTCCTACATATCCTACTCAACTTATAATCATTTAATTTAATAGTCAGTTATTTTCTCATGGCTTGGTTATGTTCGGCATAGGCTATTAGCCTAAATAAAATGTAGACTTGCAAAATAACTTTTACTTACTTAACTTATCACTTTGTTGTTTATTTTAGTGTCTTTCGAAATCTTTTGTTCATTGAACATTATTATTGCACTTGAATGGAATTATTTATACAAAAATTTAATTTAAATCATTGAAAATTTATGATAATGAAATAAGTTGAGAACTTATCAGTTTTGATGAATCGGATTTTACGAAAGTGAGACACAATACTAAGTCTCTGACCAGCCATTTGTTTCACGCACGCACTTAGGTTTAGAGTGACTAATAAACCTGAAATCAGTCATGAATATCAGTAACAAAAAAGTCATACTGGGAATGTCTAGTGTTGTCAAATGGCCCATTGGAATTTTTAGCATTCTATGTCTGTTTAGTATTAAACTACAAGACTTCATCATACAGAGACGCTACAACAACAGAGTGATCAAATGATAACACCTTAGTATAGCTACTCAGTTGTCAACAGATGTAATCACTTTCTAACTGACTCTTAGTTGCCCACTTTTCGGCCTTTTGTGGTGCACCACACAGATAGATTGCTTTCATTATAGCTCACCTACCTGAAGGGTGAGTTAGTATAAGTGTTCGAACTAATAAAAAAGACGTTTGATACCTTGTATAATAAAACAGAATAGATTTTATTTGCTAATGAAGGTGGTAACAGATTTAATGCAGTCACTTACTCTTCACCTGAACATGTTTGTATACACCGTCTGATCTTCAGCTCACTCGGTCTTTTATGAAATTCCATTGGACCATATTTCAAAAAAGAATCCCTGATTAAATGAGATCGGCAGGGTAAACCTGGATCATTGTACAAGTTCAAGGTTTCACCTGTTTCAATAGCCAACATGTGTGGTTGAATTGCATATGACCGATCAATAGGAGCGACATGACAAATACCAATTTTTATTTGAATGCCACTTATCTTTGACTCTGATAATGAGTTCAGGTATTCTTTTGGAGTACAGGGAATACAGTCAGACCACGAAGACCATTGTGTAAGTAGCTTTAAGTTATTACTAACCAAAAACTGTGTTGCTAACGGTTGTAAGCTACTGTCAGCAGTTATACTATTATTCAGTGTAGTTGTGGAATTTTCCGTTATTCTTTCTAAAGGTAAGAAGATGTTTCTAAATGGTTCATCACCAGGTTTCAAGACTGTTACAGCCCATACTCTTAATTCTTTTCCTTTAAATAAACATTTATAGACTCCAGTATCATCGACTTTTGCACGTCTTATGTAAAAAGTATCCTTATCAATATGAGTACGTGTCTTGCCTAATAGTTTTCTTTTTTCTGTTTTTATTACATCAAGAGGTTGACCAGGCTTAGAGACTGTAAAATATAAGGATAACGGTTTGCGTACTTCTGACTCAGCTTCTGAAATATTCTCTGCTTGGAATTGTGAATTTCCATATAATAAGGGAAGTGCACTCGCAACTGTAGACAGATTTTGCCAGATCCTTTTACGTAATCTACGGAAAATATAAAAACACGTTCAAGTAATAGTTACACACGACAACCCATTATAATAATAATAGTTATATCTTGAAAATGAGTTATTCATCAGAGGAAAACTACATGAAATACAGTGATGTCTTTATGGCGTCTATTCTTATCAGTTTTGATCACGAATTTATTCCAATTAGAGAACCACTGTAAACCAGGAAGTACGGGATAGCTGTTTCGTCACGCGTCACAGAAGAGGGAGAAATAGCTGTCCAGTACTCCATAGTTTTCAATGAATCTCTAACTGAAGTCAATTCATGATAAAAATGGGAATCAATCAAGTCCCCACAGAACCAACATTTCATGTTTATTTGCTCTCTCTTATTCTTGCTTCATCATAAGTAACAGATTTGTACAGACTTAAAGCAATACAGTCTCATTAATGACGTTTCATATTTACATTAAGCATTGTTGGTCTATGTTTTGGGTATGTGGAGGAAAATTTCATTTCGCACTTAATTCAGCAATCATAATCAAATGAGAATTTCTTTCTATGTCAATACATACAACTTTTTTAATAAATCTTAAGATTACTATAGTCTAATGAGTTGATGTTTATTAAGATTTTATAACCTGCTATCATGTAATATTTTGAAGCGTGAAGAGAGTTTATTTCACATATTTGCTGTTGCTTAAGACAACCGATTAACCTCCTTCAGTTAACTAGTTTGCTAGTTTTCTAGCCGGCCCCAAGCCTGAGTAAAGAGTGAGGGTTGGGCGGAGGGCTAGCGACCCTACTCAACAAATCCTACCAAACTTCTAGAGAAACTTCAGCGCACAAAAACATATAATTAAAGCACAAAGTATTTAATAAAAAACGTATTCTTTGCTCAAACCGGAGAGGCGAAATGACACTACTGGCTGGTGAAGGCCTTCGGGAAGCCAGTCATCCAGCTGATGTGTCTCCTCTCGATGAAAGAAGGAATAGGAATGAGGACGTGGGATATGTGTATAATGTACGAGGCTGTCAAGGCTGCCCATGTTGCCAAAGAAATGCGAAGATATGGTATGGAAATGTTGAGTATCTGCGAGAACATGAATTTGGACTGCCGAAATTGTCAAGTGGAGAGTCTTTAACCTACTCCGTCCACCCACACTACAACCACCAGCACACTGAGGCAGTGAGTGGCTATCATGATGTCACCAGTAGCAGCTAGAACCCTAATGCAGTGGGAATCAGTCTCCTCCTGCAGGATTATGACAGCAGGATTTAAATCAGAAGGAAGCAAGATTACAATTATCCAATGCTACGAACAACGCTACAAACAACGCAGAACAAGAGAAGAATGAAGATTTTTACAGACAACTATAAACATTAATGGACAGAATCCCAAATGGCGACATCAAAATCCTTATGGGTGATATGAATGCCAGCCGACCTGGGAGCAAATAATACAGGAAGAGAACTCTTCATAGGTCGAGAGGCTCTTGGAGAAATGAAGGAGAACAGAGAATTATTCGCAGACTTCTGCTGTTTCATTGATTTGGAGGCAGCGTGTACGGGCACAAGGATATACACAAAGCAAAATGGATTTCATTGATATAAGAATATAAATTGTGCACTGTGGTGGACTATAATTTCATCGTGAGTAAAATTTATTTTAATAAAGTCTCACAATGTTATACATTAATATTTACTGATGACGTTTCGAGCGCAATTTATTGCTCTGGACACTCTAGACAAACCGCAAACCAGATAGATTTCATCTCAATATTACTCAAGGAAATGGAGACGCAGCCATCTGGACACAAAGTCGAGAGGGCGACCAGATGTGGGCTTAGACCATCATCTAGTTCAAGTAACCTTCAAGGTGAAATTGAAATCCTCTAAAACAACCGGAGACATGAAACAATTCAAGTTCAGCACTCAGAGACTGGAGGACAAAACTACAAGCGATAACTTCAGTACAGATCAGATCAGAGCAAAGTAAGAAACGCTACGTGGTATCACTGGGGAAATATGTGGGGAAGAACACTGGTACTCTCTGAAGACGTATTCAAGAAAACGTGTAAAATTGCTCTATGAAGAAAGAAAAGACAAAACATGGAATGGCTGTCAATGGATACGTACTTGGAAGCCAATTGATAGTGAAGGAGAAGATGACTCAGTCTAAAGATAGGCAACAGAAGCAGAAAATGAGTTCACAGCAATGTAAACTGCAATGAATAAAGAAGTGAAGAAGAGTGCTTGAAGAGCCAAAAGAAAATTCTGCGACACGCTGGCTGACAAATGAAGCAGAACAGGCTGCAGGTAAAGGACACCCTAGAACATTATATCAGACAATCAGGTCTCTTTCGGGGAAGAGACCAAGCCAGGTAGTGAAAGTGATATTCACGGGAACCTGATTGCCAAGGAAGAGAAACAAATAAAACAGTGGACTGATCACTTCAGACGACTCTTGAATCGACCGTCACCTACAGCTCGCCCAGAAACAGCAATAACACTGACATCACGCATAAAACTGCCTGGCAGTGGGCACCAATCCTTCGACGAAAGCAGAAATCTTGAATGCAATCAAGTCAGGAAGGAAGCAGGACCAGACGGAATTCTCCCACCCTGAAGCACTGAAAACGGACCCATGCCATTATTACAAAGGGTTTGGAAGGAAGGAAAGGTACCTGCCGATGGGAAGAAAGGCTAACCACGTTGTCAAGCTGACAAAGAAGGGCGACCTAGGTCTGTGCAAGAGCTGGCGTGGAATCACGCTCTTGTTCACACCAAGTAAAATACCAAGTCGCATCATCCTGAACAGAACTCCGTCAATCCAGATCAAGCTGGTTGGATTCGGGGAAAGCAAATCACATGCTGATCAAATCGCTACTCTACGCATCATCATCACAGAACAAAGCACGGAATGGCAGTCACACCTCTCTCTACCTCAACTTCATTGACTTCAAAAAGGCCTTCGACAAGCAGCGTTGACCGAGAAGTAATTTGGAAACTACTTCCACACTACGGTTTGCAGTGCCCAAGTCTTTGCCAACCTCATTCAACAGCTGGCTATATGACAATGCCTGCCACGTGTCAGTCAGGCGATCCACAACAGAGAAGTCAGTGAGGCATTTGAAGCGAACACAGGAGTAAGACAAGGTTGGCTGTCTATTATCACCGATGATATTGTTAATTGTGGTGGACTGGATTATGCGGAAGACTGCGCGTGGGAGCGAGGAGACAGGAGTACGCTGGACAACCGATAAGAAGACTCTAGAAGATCTGGATTTCGCAGATGATATGTGTCTAATGTCACACAAACTCGAAGACTTGCAGGTAGGCGAAGACCAACAAACTGGCTGAAGGGGTTGACTGGCAGAGAAGACAGGACGCCAGGTGAAGATGGAGAAGACAGAGGTGATGAAGATAACCAACCATCACCAACAGAAACAACAACAACCAGCACCAATCACTATCAACGGGAGAGATTTAACAGAGGTTAGTTCCTGCCTCCATTTATCTAGGCGGCCAGCATCGTTTCAACCACAGGAATTCGGAATGATGAAGATGTCAAAACTGGGCGGTGAGAATCGGAAAGGCAAGGTACATTTTCATCACTCTGAAATCCGTTTGGAAATCTTCTGCACTCCGGATAAAGAATAAGATTCGGATTTTCGACACAACTGTGAAGTTAGCTAGTTCTTCTATACGGGTCAGAAACTTACACTGCGTGCCACGTAAAGGATTTCCAACAGGTTGCAGACTTCTATCAACAGCTGGCTTTTTCTGAATTCATACTGAAGATCAAATGGCCAGAAAGAATTAGAAAGAAGGAACTACGAGAACAAACCAAGCAAGAGCCGGTTACCCAACAAATATGTAGGAGAAAATGGAAATAGATGGAGCATACGCTGAGAAGACCATGGAATGACATCGCGTGCAATGCAAGCAATCACTTGAGTTAAATCCCAATGATTTAACAAGTAGGTCATCAGTGCGAGGGTGACATGGAAGAGATCGTGTGAGGAGGAGATGTTAGATTATGGGCAATCGTGGACACAGTTGAAGAGGATGGTAGAAAATAGAAGAAAGTGCAGATGCGTTGCTGAGGCCCTATGTTCCATTTGGAACCAACGGGAACAATAATAATGGTGTCACAAAAATCCATATTGCCCACAAGAATACAATTAAAACAGCATTATGGTAGTATAAGAAGTTGAGCATATGAGATCATCTGATATAATACATAGTGATGTATTATATTTCTCGAAACATCCTCTAGTTGTTAATACTGTACGACTATGATATATCATTTAAATTCTTTTATGTAACTTTGGTTTCTTAAAAAAGAATATTAGAAAGAAATTTTCTTCTCGATGAAATCATCAACGAGACCGTTAATTCCATGTATATGCAGTAAGTGGATGAGAAAGTTCCAGAACTATTTCTCGTCAAGAGTCAAACCAATAAGTGCAATAAACAGGAAGATAGGATAAAACAAAAACATAATTGGGGCATAATTATTTAGAAGCTAGACTTGGTGCAATCGGCGATTAAAAACGTAATAATAAAATGGACAGCAGGTTGTGATACAAAGAGAATTTGTCAGCAAATCTCATGTTTGTGGAAAAAACATTTAGCAATTAATTTCTACCTTACCATTTCTTTGTGTAGCCGTTTAAGTTGACAGTGTTTCCAGGCCCAAAAGCCACTATCACACCATATGCTACTGCAAATCTACTTGTCCCTCTTTCTCACATAACTGTGAACTACTTAGGCTCTCCTTCATAGTAGACACCTTTACTTCATGTTAATACTTTGGAATCAGAATTAAAGTTTTACAATATTGTTGACGTAACGCAATGTCACAAACATTCATAATCTCGTTTGATAACTGCATAATAGTGCCACACGCTATCTGCTTCACAACGGAAAATTCATGCAAGCTGTTAGAGTGAAGACAGGATTAAGACAAGCCCACCTAATATCACAGATGACTTTAGTGATTGTGGTGACTGGACCATATTCCTTACCGTATATGGTAGTGAGGAGACGACATACATGTTTTCACTCACGCGCACTTCACTGATAATGTGAATATATATATAACACCAGAAGGATGCAACAGTAATTCCATAGGGCGGAATATAGGGATGTTCCGTCGAATCACAAGCATTTTAGTCTTATTATCACTCTGAACAAGTTACTGCAAGGAATAGTCAAGAAAACTATCATGACATATTTGGAAAATAACAACTTATTACACATCACACATCACAGCTTTCTAGGAAGCCTTTCACTTCTTACAGACCTCACAACAAAGTCAGATGATTGAAATCCATAGACGAAGGGAAAACCATCAGCACTTCGCTCATTCATTCCGGAAGAGCTCTTGACAGAATGCCTCACACTGAGTTCCTCATGAAATTGGAAAGCTTTTGAGTCAAGGGTGACCTTTTCAATTAAAATAAAGAAATACTTGTATGTACGAAACAGGGTCAGTGTCAACTAGAAACCTTATTCTTAGACGTTGGCACGTATTGGTGTACCACAAGGTAATACAAGCGCCAATCTTTACCTGACTCTGTCTGTCAACATATTGTTTGGGTTCATGGAACCTTTATGATTCTCTGTGCAGACGACTGAACATTTAGGGACAGGTCAAATATGATAGCATTATGCTAACATTGAAGAGAATACTTAGACTTGTCCGAAATGTATACTCATGCTTATCGGGCACGCAGATGTCAGCGCATATGAAATAAGGGTAATACTATCCCCTTTATTATAGACCTATCTAATAGTAGTTCACTACCTAAAAAAGCAGTGCACTGTCAGGCAGTGGCAATCAACAGCTTCAGCTGCCTGTAGATGACACTCAAGACCCTTACTAGAGTCATCATTGGAGTGTTTTCATCTATGGTCTGGTGAAAACTAGAAAATTACATCCACATAGCTCTTGTCTCAATAGGGACGTATATATTCCAGGAGGATTTTAAAGAAAGGCAATAAGTTTGATTCCTAGTGTAATTAATTTATCATACGTCTAAAAGCTTGACAGTTCCCTCCATCTCTCCTTATTATACCGTAAGCACGGTGGAGATCTAGTTATAACTAGATCTTCACATTGTAAGTATGTATACATTGCATACAATGTCCAAAATTCTGAGAAACGATTAAAGATTCTATTTTCACTCTTTTACCTTTCCGACGTCATCTCAGACAACACAGAAGCATGGTTCAGAGGTGTAGGATAAACTATGCCGCCGTGGAGAACTGGTTCTCTCCCTCTGATATTATTTCTTAGATTCCATTCCCAGAAAAATGGGTGTTTTCCCCCTTAACCTGTTCATTCAAGAAAAGAGAAGAAAGGCAAGGAAATCTGACGAAACATACCGCAGACGTATATATTCTGCTGAAACAGGGTTTGGTTTTACATATCCTTTAAGATCACCTTGTCCGCTACCCAGTCTTCCCCTCTGAATGAACCAGTCTCCATAACTTTCGCCTGCCTTACACATTTTGATATCACTAAAACATTGAGCGCAAACATTGCAATCCAAAACTAATCCATCACCCTCCGAAAGCAAATAACTTTCATATTTTGTCGGCTGTGAGAACGCTGAACAGTCCAAATATACAGTGGCGCTTCTATATATCCTTGCATCCGGACCAAGCATGAGACAGAGCGATAGAAATAGGCTGATACTGGTTTTTAAAATGGAGTTCTTTATCAACATTTTTCCCATAGAATTCATACAAAACAGAAACACATTACAATATTTGAAATTCTACTAAGTAGATATTCAATATCCAATAACGCCACAGGTATGAAGATAAAGCTCGGACACCTTGGACACTGTGGTAGAGTATAACCCCATTATAGATAAGATTTAATTTTGATGAACCACGCAGTGTTATACAGTAATATTAACTGATGACGTTTCACGCACAAATTATTGCTCATAATCATATCAAGTCACTCACTCAACTTTTTACTTCATATATATATATATATACATGAATGAAATTGATTATACATTTGAATTAAAATCCTTATAAGATAATGTACATTCAGAAAGTGTTAGTGTTACCAATCAGGTACAATCGGATGAGAAATAAGATGTTTTTATAGTCAAAATA